TACCATGCTTCATCAAAAATCCAGCTCAGGAATGATGATTGTCTAGAAGAAACCCTCATGGTCCCGGACTCTAGCCTTAGATTTGTCACTTACCAGCACTGTGGTCTTAGGTGGCAAAACCAATGTCAACCCTAAGAGAACAAACAACTGTTTGAATAAACTGAGTGCTAAAGTCCCTTACTTGCAATAATTTAATCCTCCCAGTAACATGAAATATGTACTGCTATTAGCATTACCTCATAAAAGAGGAAACTGAGGCTTACAGCAATTGAGCAATTAACTTGTCCAAAGATCCCATAACCAGCAGTAAGTGATGGAGCTGGGATGCTAATGCCAAGCCTAATTCTGTAATCCATATTTATAAGCACAAAGATGCCTAAACTCCTGGTTCAGTCTGCCCCAAGCATCTTAAAACCGAGGATAGTATTAATAATTCTGAGGAAAGGTACCCTCCCTACACAAAGGCATTTGATAATTGATTGTTTTCATCCTGAGTAGTATAGAACACAAGCCCTGCAGACACTTGCTACTAGCCTCAGTCCAAAATTGCCTGTCAGATGACTCCTGCCAAATGTCTGTGCAAACCAATTAGTCCTTATGGGATGGTTCACAAGATGTGCCAACCACTGCGACTTTAAGTGATAATTTGTTATTCTAAAACTACTAGCAAACAAAGGTACAAGTAGAGAGAACAAATGAATATCAGGATAATGCTGGATAGAGAGAGTAAGAGAGGATATTGACAGAAACCAATCACTGACTCCAGGCCAATGAAGAGAGAGCCGATTCATAGAAGTAAATAAAACATACATGTGAGACCGATTGAATAATGAAGAGGAGGGCCAGTTCACAGAAGTAAATAAATTATACACATGCGATCTATTGATTAGTGATTAGGTGCTGCCAGACATTTGAGGTGCTAGAAGTGGGCCAGCTGAGCCTCTATCCTCACAGAACTTACATCCTGGAGAAAGAGGAAATAGAGAAGAAATAAGGAAACAAATAAGTATGTGACAGGTCTGAGCTGTAAAGAAATATGATAGAAATCATGGACACTGAAGCATGAAAGAAATGCTGCATCAGAGGAGAGCACGTGGTTAAAGCGAGAGAAGCCAGAGGGAAGGTGCTTAAGGGTACAGCCAAAAAGGCACCCTATCATAGCTCAGCAGGCTGGAGCATTAGCACAGCGGGTAAGGCGTTTGCCTTGCACACAGCCGACCTGGGTTCGATTCCTCTGTCCCTTTTGGACAGTCTGGCAAGCTACCGAGAGTATCCCGCCCGCATGGCAGAGCCTGGCAAACTCCCGGTGGTGTATTCGATATGCCAAAAACAGTAACAACAAGTCTCACAATGGAGACATTACTGCTGCCCACTCAAGCAAATCGATGAACAATGGAAGGACAGTGCTACAGTGCTAGTCATAGCTCAGATATTCGTGTCCTGCTGCTACGCTAAGGACATCAGATTTCATCCCCCCCGTGGGAAACCATTGAGAAGTTATGGGGAGATGAATGAAGTGACCAGTTGGGTTGGGGGGTGAGGTAGGGGGTGGGATGGATCCACCGGCCGTACTCAGGGTTTACTCCTGGCAAGACTTGGGGGCCCATATGCAGTGCTGAGAATGGAACTTAGATCAGCTATATGTAAAACAAGCGCCTTAATCCCTGTAAAATCTCTCCTACCCTAGTTACATTTAAGGATTACTCTACTACTCTGTGAGAAAGAGTCTACAAAGGGTCAAGAAGAAAGGAGAAAGTATTTAGAGACATAGCATGAATCTTGTAGACTCCACGTGAATCTAGTGAGTCTAGTGCAAGACTCATACAATGAAAACCACAAAATTCAAATGGGCTATATAAGGGCCTGAATAAATGAGAAATTTCTATGCCCAGAGAGATGGGACACTATTCTTATCACTCCTTCACTTCTCCGGTGCTCCCGCCTTATAGTGCCTAGGCACTGTTTGGAGTACCTTCCTTTTACAGGCATAGCAACCGTCTAAGTTGGGTACTATTATAACTCCAACTTCAAAGGACGAAACTGAGGTGTGAAATCACAGTCACATGAAACTGAGGCATGAATCAAATGAGGAAACTGAGGCGTGAATCGGAACATGTAGCTAGGATTTCAATCAAGCAGTTTGGCAATGGGTGTTCTCCTGCAGTCAATCAGCAAAGATTGACTTAAAACATCTTAGATCAAAAAATGATGGTTGGAAGGATCAATCAGGATAAGAGATGTGTGCTGAAAGTAGATAAAGGACCAAAAGTGATGACCTTTCGGTATCTGTGTTGCAAACCATAATGCCCAAAAGTAGAGAAAGAATATGGGGAATATTGCCTGCCATGGAGGCAGGGGGAAGGTGGAAAACGGGGAGGAGGGGGTATACTGGGGAGATTGGTGGTGGAGAATGTGCATTGGTGAAGGGATAGGTGTTTGATCATTGTGTGATTGTGAATCAAACACGAAAGTTTGTAACTGCATCTCACGGTGATTCAATAATTTTTTTTTTAAAAGAACATCTTAGATCAGCTTTCTACAAGACTCACATCACAGACAGGGATGGAGCCCAGCAGGATTCGCATGTAGGAAGCCCTGGGTTCAATTCTGGCACATAGCCCCGCCTACCCTACCTAAAAGCAAACTCACTTTTCCCAGTCAGCATGACCCATGGAGGCCTACAACTGGGAACCTGCCAAAACTGGCAGACTCTATAAACAGAAATAGAAGGAAGCTGAAGTGGCTTACGGAAGCCCACCCTCCACATCCATCCCAGACTGGCACCCGCCAAAAATCCTGGGCCAACCAGCCCTGACAGCCAGCTGCACACCCACCCTCAGAGACAGGAGGGACCTACCTGAAGCTTCCTCATGCTGAGACTCTGTATGGAGAGAAGAGGAGGAAGAGGGAAAGACCCCCACGGAGGCTGCCTTCTTCGGTGGGGTGTAGGAAAAGGGGGCTCATTCATCCCTCAAAGACTTGAGGAGCTCCACACTGACAGCGACTCCAAAGCTCCTCTCTGCTCTTAATTCAGGTATTAAGCCATTTCTGATGGATTTAAAAAATAATAATAGGACTATAGAGATAGTACAGTGGGCAGGGTGGTTGCCTTGCAAGAGGATAATCCAGGTTTGATCCCAGGGTACCACACATACAGTCCCTTAAGCCCCACCAGGAGTGATTCCTGAGCTCAGAGCCAGGAATAAGCCCTGAGCACTGCTGAGTGTGGCTTCAAAACAAACCAAAAAAGTAATACTAACAAGACATAAAACACATTCTCTTTTTTTGTTTCTTTTTAGGTCACACCCAGTGATGCACAGGGGTTACTCCTGGCTTTGCACTCAGGAATTACGCCTGTCAGTGCTCAGGGGACCATATGGGATGCTGGGAATCGAACCGGGTCGGCCTCATGCCAGGCAAACACCCTACCCACTGTACTATCGCTCCAGCCCACGTTCTTTAGGTGATTAGTTGAATTAACGCAGAAGTGCCACTTGGCTCTCAAATATTCCAAAGGCCAGCTGGGGAAACTACATTTGGCAGTGGTGTCTGCTGGACTCCCGAGTTTCCACCCAACTATAGCAGACACAATATGGTCTGACAATTTTGTAATAAAATCGATCTTCTTGCATGCAACCTGCCTCACCACTGGGATCCAAGCTGTGACCAAAGCAAACATGCCAACATATGGTACATGGCTCTGTCTCCAGACACGACACTCACCAGCAATCTGCAAGGTTTGCACAGGCTCCCTTGCCCCATCCTGAACAGGAGTCTTCTGAGGAAACGTAATGACATAAAATCAAGCACATTCGTTTTTATGGAAAATATTTTGAGAGGACCCTACCCCCAAATAGAAAAATCTCAGATGGAACCTAAAACAGTCCTGTGTATAGTAAGAGCAGGCGTGGGACGTAAGGACAAAATGCCAAGGCAGTTCCCAGGAAACAGCAGCTCTCACCTCCCTGCCCAGGGAGCACGGGGACTCTCATGCGGCTGCTACAAAACAAACGACGGACGCATTTTTCACTCTGCCTCACGAGTTATAAAAGTGAAAACTCTCCGGGCATAAGGAGCTTGCCTTGCACACAGCCAACCACGGTTCTATTTCCAGCACCACATATGGCGCCCTGAGCACCACGCCAGAAGTCAGCCCTGGGAAACCAAAAACAAACAAACAAAAAGAGAGCCAGAGAGATAGTACAGAGAGGGAGGGCATTTGCCTTGCACGTGACCAGTCCAGGTTCGATCCGCGGTGTCCCATACGGTCCCCCAAGTACTGCCAGACGTTAATTCCTGAGTGCAGAGTCAGACGTAACTCCTGAGCATCTCCAGGTGTGCCCCACGCCCCGACGAAAAGCAAATTTTTCTTCTGGTTTCTTTTGATTAACGAAAGAGGTATTGGACTGGGGAGACAGCTAGAAGGATTGGAGCACATGCTTCACATACAGGAGCCCTGGATTTGATCCTTGGCACCACATGGTCCTCTAAGCACATCCAGGAATGAAACTGAGCACTGAACTAGGAGTAACTCCCCCAGCTCAGTGCGGTGTGGCCCAAAAGTCCTCCCCTCCCCCTTCCAAAAAAAGATTTTTTTCTTTTTGCTTTTTGGGTCATACCCGGCGATGCTCAGGGATTACTCCTGGCTCTGCACTCAGGAATTACTCCTAGCGGTGCTCAGGGGACCATATGGGATGCTGGGAATCGAACCCGGGTCTGCTGCATGCAAGGCAAACGCCCTATCTGCTGTGCTATCTCTTCAGGCCCCAAAAAAAGATTTTAAAAAAGGAAGATAAAAAGATTAAAATAGGTCTTCCACAAAGGAACGTGGTATAGTTTAAACTTTTGAAAAGAGGTTGATAGCTGCACTTCTAAAAAACATAGAGCATGCAGAGTAAATCAAATGAGAGGCTTCCTTCTATGCCAAATAGAAGAGTAAAAGGAAAGAGAATAGTTCTCCAGGGTGGAGGAGGAGACCAGCGCACCACAGCGCCCCCTACCTGCAATCAGCCCATCCATCTGCTCCAGGGCAGCTGCCAACGCATGACTCGCATCCGAGGCCATGGCTCCGCCTCTCTGCTTGGGTGGCTTGGCTCACTGAAAAGTCAAACACAGGACACGGGGGAAATTACAGTGAGTGCCAGCTTATGCACACAGGATGACCAGTTCCATCAGATGGCACAATCCCGTGGGCTCCAAACCGCCCAACGGACTTCCTGCTGCATTCACATTCTCTCCCACTCTAGCCTGAGTGCTCTCTATGTTCATCTGAAGCACATGGTCCCAGTCACTCCTAAAACGTAAGGCAGGGGGCTCTTCGAGTTTCCCTGCCACAGAGACACAGTGAGGGACAGTCCAGCCGTCATCCAAGTCAAGGTTCCAGCTCCACTGCAGAATTGGGGACAGAGGCGCAGGCAGCCCAGGCCCTAGGGTGGCATCTCTTTGCATTTGTCCTGCACCTGCAATTCACACTTGTCTGGGGGCAGGTATGATGATGGCAGAGCAGTCTCAAAGGCATTTTCCTTTCCCAAACGAGCCCTCTAACAAAGCTGCCAGCACACTAGCAAGTGCCCTGCTATGGCAGGAACCAGGCACACTGGGAATTCACATGCTAGCATGGCTCAGGTGCAGAATCCCATCTTCTTAGGCCCGGAGAACTTCTCCAAGGATGCAGAATCCAGCCACTCTCCACGCCTAACCTCCCATCAGGAGCCACATCAAGAGTCCCCCACCCCAAGCTTTTCACTAAGTTGTAGGATAGGATAAAGTTGGCATATTCTCTCTAACATTACTCTTAACTCATTTCTTATCCAGCGGCAGCCCTTCCTTGAAAGGATTTAATACTTAAGAGTCACCTCACCTATTTTGCGACTGAAACCTGCTCTTAGAAAAAGATCATATAACTTATTTACCTTAGAGATGGGCTGGAGCGATAGCACAGCAGTAGGGCATTTGCCTTGCGCACAGCCAGCCCAGCTGAGCCGGGTTCGATTCCTCCGCCCCTCTCAGAGAGCCTGGCAAGCTACTGAGAGTATCTTGCCCACATGGAAACGCCTGGCAAGCTACCCGTGACATATTCAATATGCCAAACACAGTAACAAGTCTCAAAATGGAGACGTTACTGGGCCCGCTTGAGCAAATCAATAAACAATGGGAAGACAGTGACAGTGACAGTGACCTTAGGGATTTCTATCTAAAAACATGCTCATGTCAAAAAAATTAGTTGTGAAAATATTTAGCATATGTCAGGCTTTAAAGAAATTACAAGTTATTTCGTCCTTTTCCTCATAAGTGTGAGCCATCCTATAAGGCTAAAACCATACAATGTAGGATATGATTATAATTTCAGCTAAATAAACCACCCTATTTCTAAGGAGATTTTAGGGATGTAATCACAGTGATGAAATTAAACATAGCTAAATTTTTGCAAGAGACAATGAATAAACCTCTTATAATAGAACTAAGTATCTCTAACATGTACAATAAAGGTAAGAAAACATGAAAAAAAAAAAGAATCCCCCACCCAACCCAGAGCAGCTGCCACCACCTCCAGATTGCTCATCCTTCTAGAAAGTGGGGGTGCTAAACTGTGTCACAGTCTCTCATCATTTTTTCTTGCCTCCCCCCCTCTCTGGCCCCCACGCCCAGTTGTGAATTTGTAATCCTAAGGAGAGACTTAGCTCTCGACCATAAAATGTTGAGGCAGGTATTTGTCTGCCTCAAAGGCAGTATATGTAGGGAGCAGAGACCCCTGATCCAGCAGGGGACATAGGGCTTGAAGGGCTCTTGCTCGTTTTTCCTGTGACTCTGAACTTTCAGAGGGACCAAAACGTGAGTAGGCACAAAACAGGCTTTGGCGATTGGTGTGGGTTAGAATCTTAGGACCCCCAGGAACAAGCCTGAGGAGGCAGCGGCCTTTCGAGTCACCCAGTCTGGTCTCTCATGGCACCATCAATGAGCCCTTGTTTTCTTTTCCAAAGTGGATAGAGACGACACATGGCTCACAGGGCTGGGGTCATGATTAAGGGCTGCCTTTATTTCTCATAGACGATGTTTTGTACATTCCCTTGTATATAGGAACTTCTGAATAAACGGCATCTCTTGCTTGTAAATGCGAAGTTACCACAGGCTGCATCTGGCAAGAGATTTCAAAATGGCGTAGGCTGAGGGGCAAAAAAAACAGAGGTCAACCAGGGGCTAGTTCCTCTGGAGAAGGTAGTCTTGGCCAAGACAGAACCATCCACGCCCAAGGAGGGGGAGCACAGTGATTCACAGGTACAAAGGCCAAAAAAAGATTCAGAAATTGGGTGCCAGACCTCAGTAGTTCAAGAATCATTGCACAGTCAGTTCAGGGCAATAGAAATGGGGCTGTGAGGAGAAGATTGGGCCTTCCTCAGCATCTCAGGCCCTGGAAGGAGATGGGCAAGGCTGCAGGAACAGCTCTAGTCTGTAGAGAGAACGGCACAGGTTGCCACAAAGCAGGTCATGGGGTCTCGATGGAAGCAAACTTGGAATAGAATGAAAGAGAAAAGGTGGCACAGGAGGCCTAGGTTGGGGCAGGCGGGGAGGCACTATTGGGGTAACAATCAGTCTATTTAGTCACAGGAGATAAAAGTCCGAAGAACCTGGGTGGGGGAAAGAACTCAAAGGCTGAGCATTTGTTTTGCACGTGGGAGGCCTAGGTTCAACCCCCCTGTGCTACGTGGACCTCCAAGCAATTCCAGGGATGACCCTCAGGCACCAACACAGATCACCCCTGAGCACTGTCCAGGTGTATTACAAAATACAAAAACAACACCAACCCAGTTTGAAATACTTTCCCCCGGAAGAGATCCCACTGCATCAAGAAAACACTTGATAGTGCTTTAGAAAGACGTTGGGCAGGATCTGGCCAGCCTCATCGGGCGCTCCTCCGTCTCCTGTCCACTCCCCAAACATGATTTCTTGCCTCCTCTGCAAGTTTACACCTGCTGTCTCCTCCGCTCTGAGCTCCCTCCCAAAGCTCTTTGCCTGGCTGACGTACTCCCGTCCCTCCCATGCCCAAAGCAGCCTCTCAGGAAGGTTATCTGTGCCCAGCCACATGGAATGCAGCTCCTGCCAAGCACAGCAAATCCAAAGGACCCCATTCAGGCCCATCCATATGTGTTTCCTTTCCAATTGGCCTTATTTGCTCACTCCACAGACACCAGGGGTCACTGTCTTGCTCACCTTAGATGTCCAGTACCTACTCTAAGTATACCTAGAGCAAAGAATTTTATTATTTTTTTAATTTGTTTTTAACGAATCTCAGGTACAGTACAGATTTACAAATTTTCGGGCTTACATTTCAGTCATACAATGATCGAGTATCCATCCCTCTACCAGTGCCCATTCTCCACCACCAATCTTCCACCACCCCCACATCATCTCCACCACCCAACCCCTAAATTTGTGGCAGGCACATTCCCTTTTGCTCTCACTCTCCTTTAGGATGCTGTGGTTTGCAATGCAGGTATTAAGTGGCCATCATGTTCGGTCTATAGTCTACTTTCAACACGCATCTCCCATCCCGAGTGGGTCCTCCAAGCATCCTTTACTTGGTGGTCCCTTCTCGATCTCAGCTACCTTTTCCCCCAGCATGTGAGGCTGGCTTCCAAGCTGTGGAGCATCCTCCTGGTCCCTATCTCTACTATCCTTGGGTGTTGGTCTCCCATTCTGCTACTTTATATTCCACAAATGAGTGCAGTCCTTTTATGTCTGTCCAAGAGCAGAGAATTTTATTTTTTTTAAAGTGTGTGAATAAACAAACGGAGCCATGCGCCCACATTCCCTGAAGGCTAGGGGTGTTGGTAAATCAGACTTAGCCCCTGCTCCCAGAAACTAATTTGCCTTGCATGTGGTCCTGTGGAAAACACAGACAAGTTTTGTTTTCATCATCAGAGGAGCGTGCTTGTGTGTGAGGCAAGTGAGCTGACCAAGGCTTCTTCGCTGTTTCCCAGCATTGAGGAGGGGCAACATTTTCCCAGAAGCTAAGGAGGAACATGTGCGGGAAAGGTGGAGAAGCACGGAAGGAAAGGATGTAGGTGACAAAGATCAACGTGGCTGATGAGACTGCACAAGCTCGTCCAGCTGCTCGAGCAAGGTGGATCAGAGCCATCGTCGGAATTTGGTCAAGGGTGTCAAAGGTAACTGCTAAAAGAAGCTAGGGAATCACACCCAGGACTTTGGGGGTCTGGATACCAGGTCAGCATGAACATAACAGAGATTGAAGGGAGAGAGGTGCCATCTCTCTGCACAGGGACCCCGTTTGGGGTCTGACCAGCAGAGTGCAAGGTGGAGGTAGAAGAGGAGCTAAGCCCAGCAAGGGCCCAAACTCGGGCCCCCTGCAGCTGTATGACCAGGAGGAGACCCACGGGCCCTCTGCCCAGTGATGATTTTGATTTAGGCCAACAGCAAGCTGGGTGGAGCCGTGGGAACTGGTGTGAGGTGAAACATGAGTCAAAGGTGTCTCATATGGACAACCCAGGAGCTTGTGAGCTCAGCTGGAGACCTGCCTGGTAAGACTGAGTCCATGCCAGCCTGTCACGGGGAGGTGGGACTTGGCAGTAGTGTGGGGTGAGAAAGAGAGGCCTTTCAGGGGGCAAGAGCCCAGGTGTGGTGCTGGAGTAATAGCACAGTAGGCAGGGCGTTTGCCTTACATGCGGCCAACCTGGGTTCGATTCCCAGCATCCTATACAGTCCCTTGAACACCGCTAGGAGTAATTCCTGAGTGCATGAGCCAGGAGTAACCCCTGTGCATTGCCAAGTGTGACCCAAAAAGTAAAAGCAAAAAAAAAAAAAAAGAGCCCCAGGTGTGAGGGCTTCAGACCCAGTCTGTGAACACAGATCCTCCTTCTGGAACAGGAAAGAAAGATCCGGGGCAGACAATCATTCTCATCACAACAGCAAGGACCCCTTTGCCTCCCTCTCCACTGTACAGGGTAGAGCAACCTTGCATAAGGAGAGAATTAAGGATCTTTTATGATTCTCCATCCCCAAAGGGGTATATCCTAGGGATATGCCTCCCTGGGAAGCCTGGGCTCATTGGGGATGATGAGCACAGAGCAACTTATGATCAT